TGTGCATCTTGCATTTACTATTACTCATTTTATGCTTAGCAAAAGTAACAGATTCTTTTTTTGACCTTTAATACATATATTTGAAAAGGGAACATAAGATTGTTCTCATAAACAGGAAAGCAGTATCCCGTTCTGTAAATAGAAGGCCATGGTAAAACACAAATTCATAGAAAATAAAACATCGTTATCCACTTCCAGCTAGATACTGTTGCCGGCTGAAGGCTAAGCCTCTTCCTTGGAAAGGAAATCAACATGGTTAAGGAGAGGCTAACCTTCAATTGTGACTCTCTCCTTGATGTAATCAACCGAAAAGCCAGTCACTCTCTCCCAGTGCTATTTAATTTGTGCCTGAATAACTCTTCAAATTGTCTCATGGATCCCGATGGTCTGTGCCCATTTTGCGGGAAATGCTACCTCAGCAGCCTCTGACTGCTCTGTGCATCTGCAGCCAGCTCCCTGGCCACACTTGACTGCTTCTGCCCATCAGGGCTGGATCCATGGCCACCTGCCCCACGCCCACCCCACACTGGGCCAGTCTGACTGGGCCTGGGCATCTAATTTGTCCCAAGGAGCTTTGCTTTTATTTATTTATTTATTTGTTGGTTCTAGGTTCAACCACCCCAGGGAGCTAAACTAAAGAGAAGGATACAAGAACGAACTTTATGAGCCCTTCCTAAGTGACGGACATTGTGATTGGTGTTTTACATCGATTCTTTCAATTTCCCCCAAATTTCAGTCATTCACATGCTGCCTTCATGCCTTCCACCCTATCACTTAGTATTTCTCTTAAAGTTGATTTGCCTTTTTAAAAAGATCACAATTTTATTTTCAAAGGAAATGCTATATCGTTTCCATAAATCACAGTTTGGTGTGCTGTTTGGTTTCTAACATGCATCTGTTGCGAGCTATTAAGATAATAAATGTTCATCCGTATACCACCTAAAGTCATCTTGTACAGCATCAATCAATCACATGTGTGCCAGCCTCTGGGAGGTACCAAAGGATCTTAGCTGTGCTCACACAGACCTGGGTGGGTGGCTCATGGCTGAGAATGTGGAGGCTCAAAGGGACACCTGCCCCAAGTCCCACTGGTGGAAAGGGATGGGGCTGCGATCGGAACCCAGTCCACCTCCGAGGCCTAGGCTCTTTCAATGCCACTGCTTTCCCAAATGAACTTCTTAAAATCAGAAGAACCCTTTAACAGTAAAAACATAGGAGGAAATACAACATATATAACAGATAAAAGCGAAGCTTTTGTGAATGAAATGGGTTTGGAGAATCCAGGGCTTCTTCTTTGAGGCCTTCCCTTCCCCAAACCCATCCTATAATGGGCCTTGAGAACCGTTCTGAGAAGCTCAGGATGCTGAGGAACATTACTTCAAACCCATACTGCACCACCCTGTCCCTTGACTCCATTTAGTGCATTTTTTCCATGAGCCAAACTCCTGAGGGGCAGCTTCTGGGTCTCTGTTACTTTTTCTGGCCAGGTGTCTCTATCTTGGATCTTGGCCACCTTGAAATCTTGAAATTTTCCATTTTGCCATTTTGAAATCTTCCACTGGCTTTCTAAGTCTTACTCTGACCTAATTATTCACTCATCAAACACTGATGTCTATAATCGGCATGCAGATTTTTAGAGGGTGCAAAGGGGGATGAGAGGATGGAATATATTTCTTTTGGTGGGCTCCCAGATCCATGTGAGAGACAGACACTGGTCAAGTGTGGTAGGGGTGTGGGCAGCCCCTGCCCCCTGAAGCTCACTGGTGTTCTCATTCCTGTCTCTCTCAGGTGCTGGCCACGTTCTGTGGTGGGCAGGGCCTGGGATGGGGCTGGCCAAGGGACCGGAGCAGTGCTGGGTGCCCTCCACATGGTGAGGCTAGAGGCCTTGCCTGATTTCCCACTGTGCTTTCTGGGTTATTTTCCCTTTAGCAAACACTTCCTGATGTAAGTCTAGAGTTAGAATCATATCTCACTCCGATCCCTAAATCCTCGCTTCCATGGGAGGACCCACTTACAATGGCCCAGCATTGGTAGTATGAAACTCTGCATGGCTCCCAGCCTCAGCCTGTCTCCTCTCCTCATTGCTGAGTCTAGTTGACCCTCCAACCTGGAGACCATCCTCCCGCTGAAGTGGGTACCCCAAAGAGATCCTCCTAGGCCAGTAAGAGAAGCATCTGTTGCCTTAAAAATATGAAAAAGTCCTGGCAGAGTTCCAATAGGTTTTAAAGACTCCGAAGGGACATTTAGTCTTGTGGTGCCTCCTGACCGAGCCAAGAGTGCTATCTAGCCCCTCAGTGCCGACCATAGCCCTGGTCCTCTCTGGAAGGCCTCCATCTTTGGAAAGCCCATATAATGTCCCCAGAACATCACCTGTGAAGTCACTCCTGTGCTCTGAGACCAGCCAGGTCTTAGCTAAGTCCAAGTTCCAGGAAGCTTCTCTTTTGGTGGTCCCAAGAGTTGAGTCCACTTGTGAACTCAGAACAACTCAAGGCAACTCAAGCCAAGTCAACTCAGGTCAACTCAAGTCAACCTGAACTTCACTCCATGAATATGTGCTGTGGACCTCTCTGCCTATTCCATATTACCCTGAGCCAGGCTCCAGTTGAGACAAAGGCAAAATCCAGAAATTACAATGACAAAATCTTGACTCTCAAGGAGTTTTCTGTTTTGAACCCAGATTCCAGACTCAAACTTTTTCTTGAGCTGAGGGAACCAGTTGCACAAGGGGCTGGAGAAAGATTCTCCTTTCTGTACTGGAGACAGGTCAACCAACAACCAACAGCTGAATCCTGAAGTTCGCTTCCCAAGACTTTTCAAATCACCCTCCCTGAGTAGTATGACTTTATTAACTGAGATTGCAGAGTCGGCTGGTTCCTCCACCTTCAAGATCTGGCTCATATGTGTCCCGAGCCAATCATTCATTCATTTATTCACAAACCTGCATCGAGACCTTAATATGCGCCATCCCCCTTACAGATATTATTTCATTTAATCATCAGAGTAATCAGTATGAATGCAAAACCAGTAAGGGGCCAACTGGATTTCAACCTGGCCCTATTCCAAGGGCTCTTTCCATCTCATCCCACTGCCTCTTAGAACAATTGAATAGAATCTATAACACAGGATAGAGATCACTGAATGCTTAAACTAACACATTCTATATGGAGGGAAAGAGTGGATTGATGAATATTTTATGTAAGATGAAATCCCACCTGACCAGTTTATTAGAATTCTTTGAGAAGTGAACTATATAGGGAGATAAAGCAAGACTTTCACAAAAAGCCTTTGTCAAGTTTCCATCCCAAAGCCTATTAATAAAATTGATTCATTATAGAATTGGACAGAGGTGGGTGGTGAGTGGGAGGGAGTCTATTTTTGCATGGATAGGGAACTGGCTTAGAGACAAGAAAGAGAGGGTGGAGATAGATGGGTGCTTTTCCAAATGGGTTTCCCGGGAATTGGTACTGAGTTTGGGCTTATATAACACTCAGTACACACGCATTGAGCACCCAGTGTGTGCGAGTCTTGCACTAAGCATGGGGCTGGAGTACCCAAACAAGCTGGATTCAGCCCTCGTCCTGGGAGAGCCCAAAGGTGCAAGCGCTCAGTGACAACTCCACATTTTGGAAGATGAGAAGCTCCTCAGGGAGAGGAAATGCCAAGACATTGGAGACAAAACCTGAAGAAGGTTGCTGGGAATGTGGAAACCCCAGACAGCAGCCAGAAGGTCTGGGTTTTAGCACCAGCTTTGTCCCCGACTCTCTGTGTGACACCGGGCTAGTCCCTCCCCACTCTGGGTCTCAGTTTTCTTTCCTATACAATGAAGGAATTGGAAAAGATAATCCCTAAGGGTGCAGTGCTCTGGATGGAGGAGGATGACTTACACCAAGAACTGCTTATGAGCAAGTCTTCATTTCCTGTGGCCAAAATGTTCCCTTCTGTCCCAGCTCTGTGATGGGGGACCCCCCCTCCCACCTCTCATTTGTGAACAGTGAAGCCGAGGCAGAGAGCCATGAGGTCTGTGACGCTGGGGCTCAGAGCCCAGCCTGGAATTCCTCAGTGGCATTCTCTGTGAATGACTCAGCATCATAAATAGCTCCCATCTGGATGAGCAATGATATCTATAGCGATTGAGCGATCTCTATATCCACATACACTCTCTCTGTGCAAATATGTGGCTCACTGTATGCTAAATACGAGGTGGCCTGGAGACGTTCCTCCTCTTAAGAGACTATTTGGTATGAAACTCAAGACTGTTTATTTAAAGAAACAAGTTTACAACTATGCACACTGGATTACTGGTCATGTGGGTGGCGGGGAAGAGGAGAGGTGGATGAGGGACGCCGGGTGTGATCTGAGCTTGGCTGGCCACCTGGAAGAGGAGCTGAGGTTGACTGCTCCACCCACAAGCTGCTTTGGATACTGGGCTGCGGAGGGAGTGGCAGGGGGGATGTTGAGCTCATCAGTGCAGGAAGCCATGGCTCAGCAGATCTGACAGAGCACAGGATCTGACAGTGACAAGAGAGCCAAGTGCCAGCCCAGCCCTGCCTTTCCATTCATCTTGGGCAGTTCATCAGTTCACTCATTCATTCATCAAACATGTACCAAGCACCTACAATGTGCATAGGCCACTGGGATACAGACATGAAAAAGCTTAGAATTCAGCTTTAGCTACCTACCAGGTATGTGTCTTTGGGCAAGTCCTCTCCTCACTGAGCTTTATCTTTCTCATCTGTAACTGGGGATAATACTATCCACCTCAGGTTTTTTGGGGAGCACTGAATGAGATGATGCACAAGAAAGTGCTTCCCTGTTGTAAATGGCTCTGCAAATGCAAGGTAAACACCATTCCATCACATTGTCCCACTGATCCATCTCATTCCATCTTAGGATTGTCCTTGGCAATCACAGAGGGGAAGACGCGCCCCCTTCATCAGGGCTCCAGGGGTGAGGGATGTCCTGAACACTATCCAGGGTTTGGTGATGAGCAGTGCCCTTACCTTTGCTTCCTGGCAGAGCCGGGATACAGGTGCCTTCAGTCAGTGAGCAGAGCAGATAGCATGGCAGGGACCACACTTTCCTGGAGGGGGAGAGAGGAGGTTGAGGGTTGAGGAGGGAGCTTCTGGGGAATTGTCTTGCTGGAGCCCCAGACCTCAGTGAAGGCATGCCCTTACCTCTCCTGAGGCCACCACTGCTTCTCTTGATTCCAGCAAAGGGCTGGGCAGGATGGGGCCCTGCCTGCCGTCAGACCCAACTCCTGGCCCACCTCACCCAATCTGACAGGAGTTACCTATCTGTTTACTGGTGCAGGCAGCACTTGGATCCTACCACTGATCATACTTTCCTTACTTAAATGTGATTTCTGATTGGTGTAAAGAGATAGGACTTATCATCTATCATATCTGGTTTTGAATTCCAGCTTTAGGGATGTCCTCTCTGAGCCTCAGTGTCCTCATCTGTAAAATGGGACTTCTAATAGCACCGACCTCATACACTCAGTGCTATATAAGTGCTTGTTATTATTACTGTTAAATAAGATCACATCTGTGAAGATAGTTTTTGTACTGTAGCTCCTCAAATTTTAATTACTTTCCTGTGCTTGATTCCAGGGGGCACCATGCATTCTGTAAAAGGCAAAGGTTGGCTGTTACATGACTTTGCAGAGCTCCGCCACAAGGCCAGGCAGATGGCAGATGCCAGTCAATCATTGCTGACTGAGCATTGTAACAAGTTCGCCCGATTTGCTATCGCAGATTTAGGATGAGGGAGGTCGATGTTTCATCCTCATTTTATAGATGAGAATACCACCAACACGGAGAGGGGTAGATGGTCTGCTGAAGATCACACGGGGTAGGCATGGAGCTGGGGCTCTTCCCTCTCTTGCTCTTGCTGTCTGCCGCAGCCAGGACCCCACTCAGTGGGGCACCACAGCCTCAGCAACTGAAGGGGCTGCAATGTCCACCCCAGGACAACCTGTCGCCTCCTCCCCCAACTCTCGGTTTCCTCTTCTTTTAGTAACCATCGCTCTGATCTCAGTGGATCCAGGAGCAGATATTATTGTCTCATTTGCAGAGGTGAAGACTAAGGCTGAGAGGCAGATCACGGAGACGGTATAAAGTGAATCAGAGCTTCCCACAGGGATCAGCCAACTCCAGGCAACATTACTTCCTAACAAACCCTCAGACCCCGACTTCCCTCACCTCCTCCATTGCCAGCATAGGAGCTCCTTGGGGCCGAGCATGGCTGTTTCCCCAGAGCCTGGCATTTAGCAGGACTTGAAAAGTATCTGTTGAGTGAATGAATTAGTAACTAAGTGGGCGAATGACTTTACCAGGCTGTGTTCTAAATGCTGGTGTCACGGCAGTGAAAAGGCCAGGCATGGTCCCTGCTCTCAGAGAGCTGACAATATTTGAATTTAAAACTAGCACCTGGATTAAAAACAGGGCAGATGTTCCTGTTTCCAGCTTGCTGGGAAGGGAGAAGGGGTGGGCGCCTGCGAGCTGCAGCCTGCTGTCTGCCCAAGGAACAAGCACCTGGGAGCAAATGGTAGCTTCCTTGTCCTAAGGTGGGACCACCTGTGTGTAGGGACAGGAGGCTGGCCTTTAAGAAGGGAAGGAAAGACGGAGAGGTGGTACAATTGTGTTTAGTGTCTACCTACTGGTCAGGACCAGCTAGTGTGTCATCTGGCACATAGTACGTGCTTAGTAAACTTTTGTTCCATGAATGAAGAGTGGGCAGAACACATGTTGGGATGACTTATGTCTAGGAGGCAGGGAGAGTCAAGAGCGTTAACTACCAGAATCATTACGACTTAGAAGGGAGTGTCACTTCTCACAGAGCCTGTTCACACACCAGCTCTTCTCCTGTGCAGGCGAGGGGCCCATTGAGCACACACTTGCTAGTGAGCGCTCTGTGCCTCTGTGCTGGGCACTGGTGGTGTTGGTATAAACAAAAGAGCAATGCCACCCCCTTTAGTGTATTTACTGTGTGCCCAGCCCTCACATCCATAATCCCTAATGCTCCTGCTAGCCTGGCACAGTCACTGTCATAACCCCCCACCACACAGAGGATGGCACGGAGGCCAGAGAGGCCTTGATCTCACATGGTGAAAACCCAGGTCTCTTGTCTAACTCTGTGAGTGAGACATAAAAAGTTCACAGCCAAATGGGGACACAAGCAGGAAAGCAGATAGTTAAGCTACAATGTGCCACCCCCTCTAATGCAGGTTTCTCTAGGGTGCTGATCTCTCTGGTGCTCTAGAGAATTTGGGAGGGCTTCTCTGAAGAGGTGAGTCTGGAACTGAGGATTTGTGGAGGCCCAGCGGATAGTGGGAAAGGAAGGGCTTTCCAGGTAGAAGGGAGAGCATCTGCAAAGACACGGAGGAGGCATGGTCTACTCAAGGCACTGGGAGGAAGGTGGCTTGGCTGGAGCCTCAGGGCAAAAAAAGAGACTGGCAGTTTGTCAGATCCAGTTTAGAAGGGGCCTTAGAGGAGCTTGAGTTTCACCTTGAGGGTGATGGGGAGCCATTGCAGGGTTCAGCTCTGTGTCCTAGATCCTTCTGGGCACCTCAGGGGCTCAGGGATGAGAATGGGAGCATGAGGGTGGGGAGTCTGGGGTGCTCTTAGCAGGCTGGGGACAGGGAATGGTGCTAAGGCAGTGGCTTGGGGTGGTAAAGATAGGAGGAGTAGGTAGCAAGACTCAGGGCTTGATGAGGTGTGGAGCTGAGGGAGAATGGGGCTCAGCCTGCTGGCTTGGATGTGCGTGTAGCGGTGACATGGGCATCTGTGGCAGTCAACCCTCTTGTCTGCTGACCCACCCTGTGGAGTTGGAGGTTCTGTCCCAGCTGCAAGAAAATCGCGGTGGCAGGTCCTAGTGCCAGTTCCAGCAAAGGCTTCCCCTCCCACCTGACTGCTTGCATACCGTGTCCTAGCAACCTTGCCCTCCCCTCGGCAACGGGAGCTCCTCCTCTGACTGCGCTAGCAGGGAAGGTGGGGCTGGGATGTCCCCTGACCACCAGACCTGCCCAGGGAAACTGCCACCTGCAGCCTGCTGGGCTCATCATGTGGAGGCTGGCCAACCAGGCAAGGGAGGTGGTCTGGACACGGGAAGCCTTGGGAGCCGGGTTCTGACACCAGAGCTGACGCTCTGTGTGAATGATCTTGCACAAATTTCTTCCCCTCCACGGGTGTCAGTTTTCCCTTCTGTAAAATAAAAAGGGATCTCTGCAGTCTAATGTTGTCTTATCCCATTTTTGATATTTTTTATGCTTATTGTTGGATGCTCTGTGGCTGACACAGATTTTAGTGTCAGACTTCAGGGATTTAAATCGTACTTAACTTGGACAAGTCACTTCATCCCTAAGTCTAGATTTTTTTTCTCTAAAAATTGATAGAGCTCATGCTTATTCAAAAGGGTTGTTAGAGTTGGCTGAAATTGTGTCAACGAAAGTGCTTTACAAATGGTAAATAATAATACGAATGTTATTAATTTAATCTCATCATATGGTCTTCTGTGCTCTGCTGAAATTCATTAACACACCACCAGCAGCAGCCACGGCAGCAAGAGTTTACTGATCAATTACTATGTGCCAAGCATTGTGCTGAGTGTTTTCCTAATATTACATCAACCATAGAAGCTACCTATAATTATTATTCTTACTTTACATATGAACAAAATGGAGGGCTCAGACAGTTAAGAATAGAAAGAGCTTGGCCAGGGTCCCTGGCTTCAAAACTGGTTTAAAATGCAAGAGGTGTCCACCTCAGGATCTCTTCTTACATCTTGGGTTTTTCCTCTCGTCTGAAGTCAGAATTTAACAGGGTTGGGTAGTCAGGGGAGTAGCACTAACATTTAATGAGCATTTTTTATGTGCCAAGAATCGACCAGGTTCTCAGACCTAAATGTGTGTGTCAGTCACTGGGGGGTCTTGTTAAAATGCAGGTTCTGATTCAGTGCATCTAAGATAAACTCCCAGGTGGTGTTGATGCTTCCGGCCTGTGGACCACACATTGAGTAGCCAGGCGTTGGAGGAAATCAACCAGTATCTTACTGAATCCTGGTGACTACGTTTTATTAGTTCTGGGTTCAAAGATGGGGAATTGAGGCTTGAGATGCAATGCACCTCACTAGGCTCCTAAAGCGTACAAGAGGTGGGTCTGGTCCTACACAGCACTGGGCACAGGCCCAGTATCGCCTCCCTCATGTGTGATAATTTCTCTGGGGTTCTGTCTCCACAGCCGAGGCAGGCAGTGTTCTCTGGGGCCCCCTACCAGGAACACTTTCTTATTTTTAGCTCACCATGAGCAGACTGGCTCTGGATACTGGCTCCTAGTGGGAACAGGGCTTGGCCCAGGCAGTGTCCCTGCAGTTGAGTAAACATCTTAGGGCCGAGATTAGATCCTACTTATGCACAACTCATTTCACCTTCCTCACCCTTATCCCTGCTCTTTTGTATTGTCTTTATTGAAAATGTTGGTACTTTATTCATCAGTTTTTGCGTTAATTTTTTTAAAGAAGTATTGTATAAAAAGTTATTTGTCTTGATCAAGTTTTCAGCATCCCCTTCAATTTTGCACCAGGGGCAGGTGTCTTACTGGCCCCACCCTAGTCCTGGTGGACTGAAGTCATCTCCCTCCCACTGCATTCTCCCAGGATTAGGATGCTGTCTGCAAGGCACTGCAGTGCCCACACAGCCTCCAGCACTGATGGATTTATTTCCCAGCAAGTGAGTCCTGCAGATGCATCACTTGGCCTGCCCCTTGGCTGACCTGTTCTAGAGATGGCAGCAGGAACTGTGGCCTGAAGGAGGGCCCAGGGGATCACTCTGACATGGGCGTCATCCCATCCACTCCTCAATGGCTGTGTGACTGAGGGAAGTGACTTCAGCACAATTTAGATCATGCCACTCCTCTGTCTCACAGAGAGACTCCCCTAGCCTGCAAGGCCTCACCTACCCCAAGCCTCACAGCCTTTCTGCTTCCACCATCTGCTACTTTCCTCTGTGCTCACTTGGTTTCTGTCCTGCAATCTCGTCAGGGTTGTTTTTGCCCTAGGACCTCTGCATGTTCTGTTCCTTCTGCC